TAATTAATTAAAAAAAAAGGGAACAATTCTAATTATATAGGTACATTGCATTGACATTATAAAGGTCTAACCATAATGACACCTTATATTTGTAATTGTCATGTGGTTGAATTTTATTGGTGATGATGTAAACAATATTAATTGCTGCATTGGTATTCGAAAGTCTAAATAAATAGACATAAAGATTGGATTACATAGGTGCATTGCATTGTTGTATTAATAATTAATAATAATACTAATTATATAGGTGCATTGCATTGACATTCTAAAGGTCTAACCATAAGGGCACCTTGGATTTGTGATTGTCATGTGATTGAATTTTATTAGTGATGATGTAGACAATATTAATTGCTACATTGGTATTCCAAAGTCTAAATAAATAGACATAAAGATTGGATTACATAGGCGCATTGTATTGACATTGCAAACATTTCTTCGTAATCAATTTGTATTTAATTGTGTTGGCATTCCAAATGTCTAAATAAGGGGTTATAAAAGGGGTGTATGTTCAGTTGTGTATTATCACAATATGTTAGTTGGTGTCAACAATACGTCTGGTCTTTTGTTAATTGTTTATAGGTCATATTAGTTTGTGTCAATAATAAGTTTGTTCTTCATGACTTTATTAAAAGCAATGCTACAGTTACTGAAGAATGCGCACCGAATTCATGCATCAAATGACGTGATGTCATCTTGTTTTCTTAAAAAAGAAATTTATAATTAATCAACGGTTAGGATAGTGCCACGTCATTCAGTGCATGAATTCGATGTGCATTCTTCGGTAACTGTATTATTTTCCTTTTATTAATCAATGATTTTTTATTTATTTATGTTTTTGTTGTTGTTGTTGTTTACAGGTCAAAGATTCATAAATTGGCATGGAATAAAGGCCAGATGTCCGATTAACATTGTCAAATGAGTTGTTATTTTGATTCGTTCTTCTGAATTCTAAGCATATCTTTTAACTATTTTAATACGAAATTGTAAGTATATCTCCTAACTATTTTAACAGTTATTATTTGATTGAATGATTGTTTTTGTTCGGTCAATCTATTTGAATGATTAATTGTGTTAGTCCTGTCGAACGGTAAGTGTATTCCTTAACAATTTTAATATGAAGATTAATTAACTTTTGTTGATTTCGTTTTCAGGTAACAGTTATTATACGAATGAATAATTGTTCCTTAACAAATCTTAACATGAAGATCGATTAAATTTTGTTATGTTTGTTTTCAAGGAAATGTTCATGTACTTTACTAAGATCAAATCAAGGATGACCCTATTGTCAACCGAACTGTGAGCATGTGTCATATCTATATTAATAGAGACGGTTCAATTGTATTGAATATGTTTTATGTAAAAACATTTGTGTATTTTAATTTGTTATATGAATTATTTATTATTTATATCATGTTGATGTGCGAGTATATATGTTAAATGAATTAATTTTGGCTGATTCCGTTTTCCAATTAATAGGTGTTATTTGAAATATTTCTTATCAGTCCTACTATGATAATCCCTTAAATTTGGGTTAAGTAAACCATTCATTTTATCATCATACGTATTTTGGTTTCCACTGAACAATCAATAGTAAATTGACCATAACTTGCTCAATAAAAATCTAATTGATGAAAGAATTGAATCTTTAGAAACTAGATAGAAAATACTTTAATTTGATATATTATACGCTTAATTTGGATAATTGTAACCCCCACTTTCGAACCATTCTTTTCATCCTCACACACATTTCGGCTTCCACGGAATAGTCAATAGTAAATTGACCATAACTTGCTCAATAAAAATCTAATTGATGAGATATTTGAATACTTAGAAACTAGAGAAACAAGGATTTAATCTGGTATATTATACGTTTAATTTGAATAACTTTAGCCCCACTACCGAACCATTCCTTTTATCATCACACACATTTGAGTTTCTCCCGTTTCTCGATTTCTACTGAATAGTCAATAGTAAATTAGCCGTAACTTGCTCAATAAAAATCCAATTGATGAGCGGTTTGAATATTTGAAAACTAGACAGATAGGGCTTTAATTTAATATATTATATACTTAATTTAGATAACTTTAGCCCGACTTCCGAACCATTTCTTTTATCATCACACTCATTTCAGTTTCCACTGAATAGTTAGTAGTAAATTGATCATAGCTTGCTCAATAAAACTCTAATTTATTATAGGTTTAAATATTTCGAAACTAGACAGATAGGGCTTTAATTTGATATATTATACGCTTAATTTGGATAACTGTAGACCCACTTCCGAACCATTCCTTTTATCATCACACATTTCAGTTTCCACTAAATAGTCAGCAGTAAGTTGACCATAACTTGCTCAATAACACTCGATGAGAGGTTTGAATCTTTAGAAACTAGACAGATAGAGCTTTAATTTGATATATGATGCACTTAATTTTGATAAATGTAGCCCCACTTCCAAACCATTCATTTTATCATCATACAAATTTTGGTTTTTCTTGTTTCTCGATTTCCACTGAACAATCAATAGTAAATTGGTCAAATTTACTCAATAAAAATCCAATTAATGAGCGGTTTAAATCTTTGGAAACTAGAAAAATAGAGCTTTAATTTGATATATTTTACAATGAATTTGGATAACTATAGACCTACGGCTGGACCATTCATTTTATCATCACACACATAAAACCAATTGAATTTTAGTGATGACAAAGGAAAACAAATATTGATATATAGTTTTAATTGTATTTGTTCTATCTCTTTTTGTTGATATTTTTTTATGTTACATACATATATCAAAAACAGGTTGTTGCTAAATATAACAAATTTTATTTGTATCACAAATATCTTCTGATGTTTGTTGTCAAACCATGTAGCTTTAGTAAACCATTTATAATATACTGAACCATTATTATTATCCTTAAAGGAAAACAAATATTGATATGTAGTTTTAATTGTAATTGTTCTATCTCTTTTTTGATGATATCTTTTATGTTACATACATATATTATGAAAAGAGTTTGTTGCTGAATATAACTATTTTCATTTTTTTTTTTTTTAACAAATATCAACTGATGTTTGATGCTAAACCATGTGGCTTTAGTAAACTATTCATTTTATCATCATATACATTTAGGTTTCTACTGAACAATTAGTAACTCCAATTGATGAGAGGTTTGAATCTTTAGAAACTAAATAGAAAATGATTTAATTTGATATATTATACACTTAATTTGGATAACTGTAGCCCCACTGTCAAACAATTCTTTTTATCATCACACACATTTCGGTTTCCACTGAACAGTTAATACTAAATTGACAATAACTTTCTCAATAAAAATCAAATTGATGAGAGGTTTGAATATTTAGAAACTAGACAGATAGAGCTTTAATTTTATAAATTATATGCTTAATTTGGATAACTTTAGCTCTACTTCTGAACCGTTCTTTTTATCATCACACACATTTCGGTTTCAATTGAACAGTCGGTAGTAAATTGACCATAACTTGCTCAATAAAAATCTAATTGATGAGAGGTTTGAACTGTTAGAAACTAGACAGGCAGAGCTTTAATTTGATATATTATACACTTAATTTGGATAACTGTAGCCCCACTGTCGAATCACTCCACACATTTTAGTTTCTCCTATTTCTCGATTTTTACTGAATAGTCAGTAGTAAATTAGTCATAACTTGTTCAATAAAAATCCAATTGATGAGCGGTTTAAATATTTGAAAACTAGAAAGATAGGGCTTTAATTTGATATATTGTATGATGAATTAAGATAACTATAGACCTGCTGCTGAACCATTCATTTTATCATCACACACATAAAATAAATTCAATTTTAGTGATGACAAAGGAAAACAAATATTGACATGTAGTTTTAATTTTATTTGTTCTATCTCTTTTTGTTGATTTTTGGATTGATTTTGTTGTTTCATTTGTGGGTTTTGTGGGTTTTACAATTATCGTCTTTCTTTTGGATGCTATCATCAAATGCTTTTTTTGCTATTGGTGGTGGTCAATTCTAATCGCAGCAAATAGATTTGTGTTATAGGACCTTTATCTTTATGGCTTCTTGAGTGCTTCAATTAAGTTGCCTTCAGATTATATTGTTGGAGTTGTTGTTGCTTTCTATGTGAGTTCTCTTCTTAACATCCTTAATTTTTTTTTATTTCTAAAATAATAATAATAAAAATAATTCATTTTCTCTTCTCAACAATCAAAATCAATTTTTTCCCTTGGCTCTGTAGGTCTCTTGATTAAAAGTTCACATTTTTCAACAAGGTTTCTCTTTCTTTGATTAATTTAGACTTATCAATAATATCCAATGGGTTATCCTGCAATTTTTGTTTTTTTTGTTTTTCTTGACAAAGTTTTAAACTTTGGTAGCAAATGTCAAATAGTAACATATTTGAGAAAAACTGTGATGATATAAACTCTGAGTTCAATTTGTGGATATTTTATTTATTTATTTTTTAATTACCAGTTCAATATAAATAAACTTCAATATAGAAAATATATACTTAAAACACAAAAAAACCAATAATAATGTAAAAAAAAATATATAATAAACATACCTGCGCAACACAACTTGAAAATAAATATAAGTTACAGAAATTGCAGAAGGTCAATATAAATTTTGAGTTTAAATAGTTGATCTTGATAATATTAAGGTGATATTAAATATCATATACGATTCACTACAAAATACTGACATCGAATATCAAAGATATGTCTGCAAAAATAATATCAATTATACAAGATGATGATCCTAAAAGTATAATTAGACCATATAATATTCAGATGATTTTTCAAGTTAGATAAATGATTTAATAACACCTATTTATAATTGATATTAATAATTATATAACTACAATTATTATGTTTTCATCTAATTAGAAACTTTGTTTACCATCTATCTCAAAAACATTGATTAAAGATATCCGCGTAACGCGCGGCCCCATGTCTACTTAGATTGATAAAACAGGCTACTTTGCGCCCAAGTCTCTGAAATGAGCGTACTACGCACTTGTAGCGCAGTAAAACCACCCGGCCATTCTTCGCTTGTGTCCTCACAATCAGTTAGTATTCCCCTTTGCTTCAACTTCCCAATAACTAAAATTATTCTCCTACATAACAGAACAACAACATCAACAACGCCCAACTTAATCTCAACTCGCTTCCCGACTCACCTGGTCAAAATGGCCGAGTCGTCGCCACCAGTCATGAGCCCCTTCGGTTCGAGGTCCGATCGCAGTTCTTCATCCGAATGTTGATACTCACTGCTTTATTATTTTATTTTTTGGTAAAAGCTAGCTAATATGATTTGTTAATACAGTTCTGTGGATCCTGCTTACTGCGAGATTATTGTGGTGCGTCACGGCGAAACGGCGTGGAATGTCGACGGAAGAATTCAGGTTTTTTTTTTCAAGGCTTTTATTATTTCATTATTGAAAAATTGAATTGCTTAAGTCAATTTGAACTGAATTTTTTTATTGCTTAATAGGGACATTTAGATGTTCTATTGAATGAAGTTGGGAGAGAACAAGCAGTTGCAGTAAGTTGTAGAGGAACTCATGGTTATAGTTTATATTTTGATTAATGGCTGATGGTTTATTAATTTGATGAAGGTGGCTGATCGGCTAGCAAAAGAGTTTAAAATCTCTGTTGTATATTCTTCTGACTTGAAGCGAGCTCTTGAGACTGCACAGGCTATTGCAAAAGCTTGTGGCGGGTTGGAGGTATGAATTTTGATATCAGAAGCATTTTGTGGAAGTTGCTACATTGAACTTCATTGGCATTATCGTTGTTGTTCGGTTAATTGTTTAGATGACTAGTCTATTTAACTTGGTGATTTCTACACTATTACTAGGCTGATCACGTTGTTTTATTTCCTGGTGAACTTGCATGTATGTTATTTTTTGTTCTATAGAAAACAAGATTAATCCTGGTATTAGGTATCAAAGGATGAGTTTGGCTGGTGATGATTATTTTAGGTATTGGACCACTTAGTTTTATGGTGTTTTTTAATGCAATTTTTTATTGTTTGTATTGTTGGATTTATAATAAACTGTGAAATCATTTTACAATATAAGGAGGTATTGTTATAGGAATTTATGGGGCTGATGATCATCTCATCCTTGTCTAAAGACAAAAAATTCTTATTCAAATCCAAGAGTCTACAAATACCCAGTATCAACGTGTTCCTGTATGGTAGAAATTTCCTTTACTGGACCACATTTGGTATTACTCATTGTGAAGATCCTGCCCTTGTACTATAAAATAGTAATGAATAATTAGAGGGCATTATGCTATAAGCTCATATTTTTCTTGGATAGTAGTTTCTCTCTAAACACATGCACGAACAAATTTCTGTAGATTAAGGGTTTTTATAGTCTTTTAAGAGCCTAATACTAGTTGGTTCTTCAATCAAGTGCCATAAATTTGTTTTCAAGCTAAGACTTTTGTAAACCTAATTAATTCTGACAACTTGCAGAGGATACACCACATGAATTAGTCATATTTCGGTAATCAACTATATTCTAAGTATGTTATCTACTTGAGTGCAATTGTTTTACTCAATTTTAACTGTTCTATATAGGGCCATATCTTCTTTCTTTTTTCCTGACCTTGCCCTCTGGTGAGAATTAACCTTAAATCGAACTTCAGCACTCATTCTCATTGACCCCTATGGTTTTAGTCATGTATAATGAAACAATCTTAGTTTTCCTTTTATTTTCTTAACCTTAATTGCTGCTCATAACAAATTCTTAGAATGACAAGAATAAAAATATAATTGAGGCATTTTGAAACTAGCACATTTTTTAATCTGGCATCTCAATATTTAATTTGTATAGAGTACTTTCTTATCATGGAGCAACTTCAGTTTATACCATATCATGTGAGTCTTTTGTATTCTTTTTGTGGGTCTTAAAAATTTCCCAGTGTGCTAGTTACATAAAAGCCACAGCATGTTAGTAAATGTAATTAATTTCTATTTCTTTTATTCTTGGTTGTTTTAAATTTTAGGTCATTGAAGATCAAGACCTAAGGGAGAGACATCTAGGAGATCTTCAAGGCCTTGTTTATCGTGAAGCAGCCAAAATTTGTCCTGATGCACATAAAGCGCTTGCATCTCACAAGCCAGATCTGGAGATCCCTGTAAGCTAAATATAGCTTTGAACTTTCTTTTTTATTTTCACATGAGTACAACATTTCAAAACCTTGTGGAAAAAGTTTTATAAGGGGTTGGGCTGCCAAAACTCGTATCATTTGGACTTGACTTTTGCTGGAATGGGCCTTGTTTAGTACTTGGGACTCTGTTGTTTAAATGTGTAAGCTCAGGGAATATCAATTGAATTTCAAGGTAGTAAAGTTGGCATTACTTGGATGGTTGAGGGCAGCTGTGATATTGCCACCAAACTCTTTGGTTTGCTCTGAAACAATACTGCACAATCATGGCATTCTAATTTATGGTCATGGATTACCATCAACTTCTGGTCAAGGATTGTGAGTTGATTCTTTCAATAGACTGTTTGGGTTGGACCTGCCAAACTTGAGAGTTGTATATACAATAAATCGGCCTTGACTGAAGCCTTAAGCTGTTGTTTTTTCTTCTAACTTAGCTTGCTGCACCACCCTGGCTCACACCTTAACTTTTAGGAGAGTACAAAATTTAGCTAATACAGTTTAAAGTATCTGATTGGTAAGCTGTTGTTCAGTCCTTACTTCAATAAAGCTTTTAGATGGTGAGATTAATAGCATCAGTACAACCAGTTGGGTTTAAACTCAGGTGACACAACTCTCCCTTGGGTAATTATTTATGGCTGTTATTAATTGCCTTAGTAAATAACTTTGGTTAGCCCTCCCCACCACAACTGAATTTTGGGTATATTTGTCTTAGACAGAGAGTTTGTAAAAGATGTTCAATGAGTTCTTCCCCTGAACAACTGCTCATCTTTGATTTTGCCAATGGTTCCTTGATTGAATATCGCTCTTTTGGCCAAGCTCACTTCTTGACAAGAGAAATTCTTGTATTCACTAGTTTGCCAACACATTTGATTTAGTAAAATATAGGTAGATAAGAGAGACAGGGAAAGAAAAACGCTAGCGAACCCCGTCCTTTGCCACATGGTCCTTCTAAAACATGTGTGGTACCTTATTTATCTTCATGGTTAATCCCCATCCGTTAAGTACATATATAGTTAAGATTATGAAATAAGTTTAGATAATGCCACACTAGAAATAAAATTGGGAAGTTGCTTCTTATGAACTTTACAACTGGTCCTTCTAAAACAACTGCTGTGGCTTTTGTTGTTTGAGCACTTATTATTATTTTTCTTGACTTACTATGCCGATTATGTTCAGGGTGGTGGAGAAAGTCTTGATCAACTTTACAAACGCTGCACAACTGTATTGCAAAGAATTGGTAGGAAACATAAAGGTATAGTTCTGTTTTCCAGTTACCATTGGTAAAGCTTTAGTTTATTGCATTGCATAGCATGAATCCACCTGAGCTCCTACATGCTTATGCTGAGGTAGCTTGCAGCATGGAAGAATTTGATTATTGGTGAACCTGTATTAAACTAATAACATATCGTTGAAAGATATAGATTGCATTTCATATAATCTTTGATCATAAATCAACGATGTTACATTTTTCTCTGGAGAATGGTAGTTGCAATCTGAATTTATGTATTTCTGTTTTGATTCAATTGCAGGACAGCGAGTAGTTGTGGTCAGTCATGGGGGTGTGATCAGAGCACTCTACAAGCGGGCTTGCCCAGATAACAAGTCTGGAGGGAAAGTACTGAATACATCTGTCAGCATATTTCAATTGTCTGATGCCAAGAGATGGATCCTAAAAACCTGGGGTGATGTTAGCCATCTCGGCCAAACAGGGGTCCTGGAGACTGGTTTCGGTGGGGACAGAACGTCTGGTTAGTTGTTAGGTGATCTATCTAGCTTTCTCTAGTCAATTATTTCAGCTATTGACACGCAGTAATTGTAATGGTGGGAGGAACCTAATTTCCCAGTTTTAGAAGTTGTGATTGTCATCTCGTTCAATATGGCTGGCTATGATGACTTTATATTTTCCTGAAAGATGTTCCCATTTAACTTGTTAAGATTTTCCTAAATGGTTGCACTTTAAACACCAGTAATCTGCTATTCTAAAGGATCAATTGAAAAGCACCCTAGAGTCTGAGAAACAGTTTGCTGAGCTGAAACAGTATTAGGTATGAAGCCTAAATGCAGTCATAATTGGTTGAGGTGATGGACATCGACCCATTAACTGCGTCACATGGCATTAAAGAATGGAGAACTTCCAAGCATCAGGTACGGCCTAAAAACTGAGAGGTCTAGTATTAAAGAATTGAAAGGGTACAAGCTCTCCCCGCTCACTCAGAATACTCTTACACCTACTGAAATTGACAAGCAGTTTTAACTGTCACAACATTTCTGTATCCATTCCGACTCTTGTATCTCTCATTATGATTTTTATTGCAATTCAATATAATAAAGTCGATGCAAAAGAACTGTCATTCAGATCATTCCAGTGTCTAGTCTCATTCACCAACTGACTACATTTACAGGACAATCAAGAATTTTTATCAAGTAATTTATAGTGATTAGTTACAAATTTTGGTGAGGGATTATGAAGTGGAAGAAACTTTAATGTTTGCTGGGAAATTGATTAAACAATGGACCACAATTTTAGAGGGCAGAACAGCATGCGCATCAAATGTGGGACTTAGGCATATAAAATGCAATGCAGAGGTAGTTGTCATGAAGTCGACAACTTTACTTTTGTTGGTAGTGATTGTTGATGTTTGTTGAGCTTTCTGTTTTTCATCTTTCTTCTAAGCTCTCATTTTTTTATTGCACTCAAGCTTCCCTTTTGACTTTGGGTGGTCAAATCCATTGTTCTCTATTGATTTTAGAAATTTAATCTCTTTTTTTTTTTTTTTTTTTGATTAAAATAAACTTATGTCTACAAGGATCCTGTCAACCAAGTCATATCTAAATTAATTTTGGAGTTATCCACTTTTTTCTACCCAAATAATGGTTTGATAACACTTTTACACTTATAGATTTTTAAAATACTACTTTATTATCTAAATTTATATTCTAGTAACGAATAGAGAACAAACCCGATCTAATCTATTGGGACTTTTGAAGAGGGGAGAACGATGAATCTTTTGGTGGGAGAATGATGAATTTTGGTGGTTGAGATTGATCAGAATTTGACTTAGGAGGGGTGATTACTCAAACTCTAATCGCTTGATTGTCAGCGATTGTGGGATTGGCAAGAGTAGGGTTTGATGGATTTTGACAAGTGATAATCGAGTTAGAGAATGATAGTGGTATGGGGTCGGAACGATGTCGAAATCGGAAACAGAATTAACGCATTTTATTATTTTAAGATTTATATTTTTTTTTTTTAATAATTTTTGTGGAGTTTTCTAACTCCCAAGTTGTAAAACAATATGCCCCTAGTTTAATGAACCATAATAATTAAATAAAAGCTAGCAAAATTAGCTTAATGTACAGTAAAGCTTTCATTAGCTACAATCACATTAAACCAAATTTACTCCAAACTACCATCTCTTTATTAATACATTTACTAAGATTTTCTTCAATTAATTTGTCCAGCTTTAGAAAAGACAGTAAATGAAGATACTAGAGATAGTGGAAGGACCCCATAATTACCTTTTTGATTTGGCGCCAAATCCAAATGAATAATCACTTTTTATTACCATAATCATTGCAGGACAAAAGTCAACTGCAAGCCAAAACCTGATATATATATCTAATCATACCGGACAAAATTCAAAAACATGTTGATGTTGTACCAAATAAATATATAATTATATTCTATTAAACTGAAAATTCCAACCCAGTCCCCGCGGCAAACTTTTATTTACCCGTTATAATATCCAATGTTTCAACTTTAACTTATGATTATACAAATAATCCCGAAAATAATTGTTTAAAGGTGCATTTATGATGCTTTTGATGCATAAAAAATTGTATCCATGTGAAATTATGTGCAGCCAATACGAGCCCTTGTGTATGTTTCTTTATAGAAAAGGGTCATTATCTTGTTTTAATTCTCCAAGAATCAAATCCAAATAAAGCCAGAAGATTGGGAGTACCCAAGTATCAAATAAAAAGCAAAAAGAAGGGGGCGCAAACTCTACCCCTTGAGATACCCATATTACATTATTTTTCATAAGATAACAAGTATTATTATTATTATTATTTTCATACCAGTTTATACATACGTTAATTAATTTTTAGAATCTATTGAATATTTTATAAATCCAAAAGACCAAATAAATCACAATATCATTGTGGTAAGTGGTCTTACAGTTTAAATCCAAGAACTAAAAAAATAGAGCAAACATCTTTGACCGTCAGGCCAGCTTACGCACACCTTTATCAATCATCGAAATCCATTGAGCATCTTACAAGTCTAAAAGACCAGGTAAATCATAATGTTATTGTGATATGTGACCCCAATGTTTGAATCTAAGAACTCAAGGAATGAAACAAACCTTCTTGACTGTCAGGATAACTTCTTAGGGTTAAAAAATGCTATTAATTTAGTACAAATTTAAATTTAAAAAAATACATCATCCATTTACCTAACACAAAAATGGATGAATGTTTTGGAAATATTTAGTGGGGAGCTGAATTATGATTGTGACATTTGAGTGGGCTGCAAGATAATCAATATGGTTTTTGAATTCCAAATTTTGGAATTACATTCTTCAACAATGAGGTTCTCACTTCTCACTATGACTATCCCTTTTTTCTATTTATTATTTTATTAATCTTAAAACGGTGAAGATTTTAACAAGAGGAAATGGTCTCCCTGCCCTTGAATGGATCATTAAGTTTGGGTAAATAAACAACCCATAAACATTGACAAAAACAAAAAAAAATCAAATTTCCACCGATTGCATCACGGATGATTTCATGTTATGTTATGATGCGACAACTCTTTTGTGTTGACTTTTTGTTAATCTAGATCTGTTTGACCAGCTGATCTAAGGATCCTGTTCAATATTCTTTTCTTTTTTGGAGCAAATATACACACGTTTTTTCTTCAAAAAATGTTGTCACCATGTCATTAATTTAAAATTGTCTCCAACAGATTTCTAGATTTTGTTGATTAAATCTAAATCAAATAAAGATTTTTGTTTGATATTATCCTATAATTTATATTTATTTTTTATTTTTTTGACTTTTCCTGGTTCGTTGATTTTGTTAGAGTTTTCACTCGTGCGTCCATGTAATCAGTAGCTATGAAAAGTGAAAACACTATGGCCGCTGAGTAAAATCTTCAATAATTCAATTGACTATATTATATTATGTTAGGTTATGCTTTTGAGCCTACCATTTTAAATCAAAATCATTTTGAATTCATAAATTCAAATGAATTTAGCGGTGCATCATTATCACATTCACATTAATGTGGAAATAGATACGTAAATAAATAAACATGAGGCTTGATTAAATGAATATTATATTAATTTGTCAACTATAATATACATCATGAAATGTTTGGGTTCTCACAATATCAATAGGGTGAATTTTCACTTTAATTAAAAATATATTAATGTTGAGAATTTGTGATGATAACGTAAAGGCAGTTTCAGTTTGTACGGCAGAGGTTTGACTTTCAGATCGAAATAGGCATTTCCCTGATCAAGAAGCAAAAACAAATTAAGGAAATTTCTTACTCACTTCTCACAAATTTAGCATCACCGATTAAGCAACCTAAACCCACACTAATTAAATAACAATCACCCAGATGTCGCCACGTATACATCTTTCTTCACTAATTCAGTTGTTCAATAACCAAATGTGAACGCACCGTCGTTTACTTTTTATCGCCATTTGAAGATCCCCCTATCTCTCTCCTCTCTCAATAAACTCTTCCAATCACCAGCGACAAAATTCTATTACCAATTTACATCAGAAACCCTAGGATTTCGATTCAAATTTAAGTTTTGTTCTTTATCCCCTTACCATGAGTTAGCTTTACCACTTTGAATTCTTTTCATTCTTTATTTGGGGGAGGAACTTCCAAATGGGTCTCTGCAACTCCAAACCCTCCTCGTACCCCAACTCCCCTAAATCTGATCCTATTCCTAATAAGACCTCCTCAATTCCAACGAAGGAAAAGCCCATTCCCGGTGAAAATAAACCTGTTTCCACTTCTACTTCAGTAAACGGTGAAAGCAACAACCCTAGCAATGTCGATGTGCAGAGCAACACCGGCAATGAAGGAAAAAAGTCTCCGTTTTTCCCGTTCTACAGTCCCAGTCCAGCTCACTACTTCTTCTCTAAGAAATCTTCGCCTGCGAGATCTTCGGCCAATTCCACGCCGAAGAGATTTTTCAAGCGGCCGTTTCCTCCGCCATCACCAGCTAAACATATAAAAGCGGTGTTGGCACGGCGTCACGGCTCCGTTAAGCCGAATGAAACCTCCATTCCGGAAGGCAGTGAAGCCGAAGCGGCGACGGGGCTTGATAGAAGTTTCGGATTCTCAAAGAATTTTATAAATAAGTATGAACTCGGAGATGAAGTCGGCCGTGGACATTTCGGGTACACGTGTGCAGCTAAGTTTAAGAAGGGCGAGCTGAAAGGACAGCAAGTAGCTGTCAAGGTTATACCCAAGGCCAAGGTCTGTATATGGCTCAATTATTTGATTCAATTAATTGTCTATTTTGCGCTACTTTACATTGTGGAGCTAGATCTGCAGGTTGATGGGCGTCTTTAGTTCTTAATTTTAAGTGGTAGGTAATGTAAATATTATGTTCTGAGATTAACTTCTTTGTTTTAAGAACTGAGATTTATATTAAGTTGCACTTAGTTTTGGAATTTTTTTAATTCATTTGCTCATTGTTTTATCTATTTTTGTTGGTAGATGACAACTGCAATTGCGATTGAAGATGTGAGAAGGGAGGTGAAAATATTGAGAGCTTTGACTGGGCATAACAATCTTGTTAAATTTTATGATGCATATGAAGACACTGATAACGTCTATATTGTGATGGAGTAAGTTCTGATTGCTGCTCTTTCTACAACTGGCAATGGCATGCTGATGTGCCCTGCGTTTTTTTTGCTATATCTTGATAAAATGTAATTCATCTTTCAGGCTTTGTGAAGGTGGAGAGCTCTTAGATAGAATACTTTCGAGGTACTTCTTCGGTGCTAACTGCATCTTAATTCAGTATTTTTTTTTTTAATTTTATAATTTTGTTCAGAGGCTTACAGCTTATGAGCTGGATGTTGGTACTTTTCTGCAGGGGTGGAAAATACACAGAGGATGATGCGAAGTCTGTCATGATACAAATATTAAATGTTGTTGCTTTTTGCCACCTTCAAGGTGTGGTGCACCGGGATCTTAAACCTGAGGTGAAAAATAAATTCATTTTTGTATCACTCTTTTTTTTTTTTTTCATGTTTATGATGGTTGATTGAATTCTTCCAATGGATTATTCATTGAGTATTTGAGTCATTTGATTGATGATTAAGGTGGTTATCTGTTTGTGAGGCCTCTTGGACAAGTATTTGATAGATTGTCAGTTGTCACTGTTGGAACCTGAAAGTTCATTATTGAGCTTCAAATGAGAATCAAATATTTTGGGTGAGTAAGAAGATTTGAGATTTAAGCACCTGGATCCGATTGGCTAGGAAAGACTGGTTTTTCATTCCTAGTTCTTATAAATGCTAACTAGACTTACCAGTTTAGTCTTTTGGTGTATATATATATATTCATGATATGCTTATTCTTGCGAATTCCTCTCGTTGGGTTCACCAGGCATATCTTTTGATATGACCTAATGGCAACTCAATGATTATGGTCCAAAATATGGCAACAATTGTAATGGGTATATCATATTTTAGTTGGACATGGCTTTTTTTAATTATTTTCTGGGATGCAAAAGTTATAATGATCAAATGAAAATTTTGAAATTGTATTAAACATTTGCTGTCAGTTATATATAAAAATATATGTGAATTGACTGCTTATTTTCATATGCGTGTGGCATTTGCTACTAATTTTGGTTTTATTTATAAATTCTTATCTAAGTGTAGTTACTTGCTGGATCAGAATTTCTTGTTTACATCGAAGGATGACAACTCGGTGTTGAAGGCCATAGATTTTGGCTTGTCAGATTTTGTAAAGCCAGGTTTGTCCTCACTTCTTTACCTAGGTTGTACTGTTAGCTTTTTTTTTTTTAAGTTTCATGTATTTGGTTACAGTTTCTGATGCTTAAATTGGCTTGCAGATGAAAGACTTAATGACATTGTTGGCAGTGCATACTATGTGGCACCTGAAGTTCTGCATAGATCTTACAGTACAGAAGCTGATGTCTGGAGTATAGGTGTGATTGCGTATATTTTGNTGCTACTAATTTTGGTTTTATTTATAAATTCTTATCTAAGTGTAGTTACTTGCTGGATCAGAATTTCTTGTTTACATCGAAGGATGACAACTCGGCGTTGAAGGCCATAGATTTTGGCTTGTCAGATTTTGTAAAGCCAGGTTTGTCCTCACTTCTTTACCTAGGTTGTACTGTTAGCTTCTTTTTTTTTAAGTTTCATGTATTTGGTTACAGTTTCTGATGCTTATATTGGTTTGCAGATGAAAGACTTAATGACATTGTTGGCAGTGCATACTATGTGGCACCTGAAGTTCTGCATAGATCTTACAGTACAGAAGCTGATGTCTGGAGTATAGGTGTGATTGCGTATATTTTGTTGTGTGGCAGCCGTCCTTTTTGGGCTCGAACTGAGTCAGGGATCTTTCGGGCTGTTCTGAAAGCTGATCCAAGTTTTGATGAAACACCTTGGCCTTCTCTATCTTCTGAGGCAAGAGATTTTGTCAAGCGCCTGCTAAATAAAGATCCACGAAAAAGATTGACTGCTGCTCAAGCTCTAAGTGAGTGCATCGTCTGCTAGAAATTTCTTGTATTTAGAAAGTTGAAATGCTCTTAACAATTCATCGTTGCAGGTCATCCCTGGATAAAGAACTCCAACTCCAATGATGTAAAAGTGCCTTTGGATATACTAATATTTAAGCTGATGAAGGTTTACATGCGTTCATCATCTCTTCGAAAAGCTGCTTTAAGGGTGCGTATATGAGATTCTTTTTTATATATTTGCGTGCCAGTTCCTACATAGCATGTAGAATTGTTTTAAAGTCACTGTGCAAATCTTCGAGTTTAGCAGTTCTGAAGATGTGTTTTGCCATGTGATCAATGCAACCTGCATGATCTGATGTTTCTATCTAGGGCATTTTGTGTGAAGACTTAATTAAGGGGTAATTATTGTGAACCCCAACTGGTTTGGTCAATTTGTGATGGACTTCAGTTTGTGTTGAAAATAGGAACTTAACCCCCAACTTGTTAATTTCAGCCTGTTAAAGTTAATAGATGAAAGGGTATTATTGATATTTTCAGATATTAAATGGGTATTATTGACTTTTCTTTCTTCAAAAAACCCTTAATTCTACTGTTTTTACTTAAATAGGAATGCACCCAAGTTAAATAAAAACACACACACGCACCCAAAAAAAAAAAAAAAAAGCCCAATTCAGTTCAGACAAAAACATAATTATATAAGAAGTTTAAAAAATATATTTTTTTTCTTTTTTCTCCTGCAGCAGCCCAATCTGGCTGCAAGGACCAAGCAGCAGCCCAATCTGGCCAGTTGCAAGGGCCTTGCAGTGGCCCAATGAGGCTCAAGTGGCAGCTTGATTTGGCTGAGTTTTTGTCGTTCTTTTCTTTTGCATTTGTTGGTTAGTTTTGGGTTGTTTTGTTTCGTAAGCAAGAAATTGATGAAGTTTTTTTTATTTTTTATTTTTTTATTGAATATTAGCTTGTTAGATTTAGGTTGAAGGGTTTATAATGGGAAGAAAGATTGATTGAATCGGAAAATATTTATTTGGACAGTAATTAGTTATAGTTAATTATTTTGGTAATACTTGTCAAGCCTTTTCTAGTTTCAATTATAAAGTCCTAGGCTCAAGTTAGTTAATATTATCAATACGGGTACAAAAAGTCATTTTGAAACTTCGTTGATATTAACGGAGGCCAATTGATGAGGCTTAAGTTCTTTTTTTGGTATCAATAGTGGTCCATCTTGAATCAACAAATCTTTAGGGTTTAAATGCAATTATCCCATTTAATTAATTTATACCCANCCTGCAGCAGCCCAATCTGGCCAGTTGCAAGGGCCTTGCAGTGGCCCAATGTGGCTCAAGTGGTGGCTTGATTTGGCTGAGTTTTTGTCGTTCTTTTCTTTTGCATTTGTTGGTTAGTTTTGGGTTGTTTTGTTTCGTAAGCAAGAAATTGATGAAGTTTTTTTTATTTTTTATTTTTTTATTGAATATTAGCTTGTTAGATTTAGGTTGAAGGGTTTATAATGGGAAGAAAGATTGATTGAATCGGAAAATATTTATTTGGACAGTAATTAGTTATAGTTAATTATTTTGGTAATACTTGTCAAGCCTTTTCTAGTTTCAATTATAAAGTCCTAGGCTCAAGTTAGTTAATATTATCAATACGGGTACAAAAAGTCATTTTGAAACTTCGTTGATATTAACAGAGGCCAATTGATGAGGCTTAAGTTCTTTTTTTGGTATCAATAGTGGTCCATCTTGAATCAACAAATCTTTAGGGTTTAAATGCAATTATCCCATTTAATTAATTTATACCCATGAAAAAGCTTATAATTTATTATAGAAGATAATTGCATGGCAATATTGAATGGGTATCTGCCAATGTTGACTGTTGGGATGTTAATGTCAGTTAGGTTTTCACTTTTCATTGGTATTTCTTCCCATTGCGATTAAGAACTCATGAAGATAACAGGTATTAATCCTTTTTGTTTACGTTTGGTTAGGCAAGAAAAAAGGGACTTTCCAATAGTTTCAAGAGAAAAGGGTTAATATTTTAAAGTACTTAAAGGACTTCTAAAATGGCATTTTGTTGATGCTTTATTGCTCAATTGTACTGCTTCTTTTTTTCCCCTCTTAAGAGGAGAAAGGAACCTGTACTGGTCTATTCTCGTTAATGTGGTGGTGGATATGTTGAGAATGACGTTCAGATGAGAGTGACTTCTTGACTTGGTTTGAGAAAGCTATGGAAACACTGTAGACTGAATTGTAAGAATCAAATTTAGGAGATAGACTTTTATTTAGCATTATAGTTTCAGTTATAAGTTCATGACTATTGATGTGACAAGTTGTCTTTGATTCACTTGGGAACTGATCTTGACTTTATTCTGGTAAGTGGGAGTGACATGACTTTATTTTAAAAGGAATAAATATTGAAGGTTGCATTAATTGTACTTAAAAACTGTGTGGTGGTATTCAAACATAACAAAATAGTGGCAAGACACTGTTGCTAAAGAAAGATAAGGTACTTGAGAAAAAAGTGCCTCAGTTTCTTTATGAAAATTTTATTTTGAGAATCCTTGTTCAATCGCACTCTGTTCTTATCCATATCCACACTGTAGCCTTTTTTATTGTCGTTTAACTTTTAATTTGTAGGTTAGCTTATTAACATCAGTCGCGATGTTGCAGGCTCTCTCTAAAACATTGACTGTGGATGAGCTATTTTATTTGAAGGAGCAATTTGCATTACTGGAACCAAACAAAAATGGCACTATAAGCTTTGAATCTATTAAAGCGGTTAGCTTCATTAGAATGACTAAAGTTTTTAATATTGATTTGACCGTGATCAATTCTCTCAACATCTTTTACTTTGATCAGGCTTTAATGAAACATTCTACAGATGCAATGAAGGAGTCACGAATTCCTGATTTTATGACATCCGTATGTCCTTTGACTTTCATCTTAAAGGTTTTAAGTTGTGAAGTTTGTATTCCGCTAAATTTTTAATCTTAAACTTCAATTCCTTTTATCTATGGCAGCTTAATGCTCTTCAATACAGGAGGATGGACTTTGAGGAATTTTGTGCAGCTGCTTTAAGTGTTCATCAGCTAGAGGCTCTTGATCGATGGGAACAACATGCTCGCTGTGCTTATGAACTTTTTGAAAAAGATGGAAACAGGGCGATCGTCATTGAGGAACTAGCTTCGGTATGTCAGTTTCCTGATCTTTTGACATTAGAAAAGTTTATGTCTGCCTGCTTGTTTGGTTAATTTCAGTCAATTGGCCTATATGTAATGTGATGAAGTTCCTATATGTATCCAGAAAAACTTATCTCTACTTTTTGCATTTAATGATTTGGTAGTTAGAAATAGTTTATATTACTGTTACCACATTTAACTCTTCAATTGGGTAAGTTGGAGCAGTATGCTGTAGCTTTTAGCAATGTGAAGAAAAGACCAGACTAGACTGATATTGTGCATTTTATTGTTTTTATGAAAATTTTTCAGGAACTTGGCCTTGGGCCTTCTGTCCCTGTTCATGCTGTTCTCCACGATTGGATTAGGCACACTGATGGAAAGCTGAGCTTCCTAGGGTTCGTCAAGTTGCTGCATGGTGTGTCTAGCCGATCCCTTGCAAAAGCTCAATAGAAGTTTTGTACCCACATAGAAGCTAAAAGCACTTTTTACTGAAAAGCTGTTTTGGCTAATAAAAGAAATGGTGAGAGGCGTTGATAGGCCTGAATGGTGAGAAGTCTTGGTCGGCCTGAATTTGAATTTGAAGGGATTTTCGTTGGTGATCGTGGTTGAGTAGATTAGGGTTGGGACTAATATGATCTCATCTCTATAGTAGATTCTTGTAAACTTCCGCAATTATAGTAGTGAGGTTGGTGGCTACTTCATGCTGTGAAGCTAGGCAATTATGTTTTCCACTGTAAAGCTGTAGTTAAAGTTTTCAATTGCAGGTGAGAATATTTCTCAACTGATTACCAGACATTTGATGTTCTGACATATTCTACTGTCTTGACAAAGTTCAAGATTGCAATGAATTCATCTTTTGTTGTCTAAAAACTTTCTACTCCAAAACCTGCTTTTGCTAGTGAGGATTTTCAAAACTGGTTATTTGATCCAACATTTGCCAAACCGATTCATGGCTTTCCTAACTCTTCATAATTTTGATACTTGAGGACTGTCATTAACCAAACACTCAGTTTTCTATAAGAATTTAGAAAAGGGCTGATTCCAACAAGTGTTACATATGCTGTAGTTACGATCTTCAAGTTTTTTAATAGAGAAAAAAAAAGCATTCTGTTGCCAGAGCAATCAGATTCAGATTCAGGTATGATCACGGGCCTCTAGGTTAACACAGCTGATTGGCTGGTATAAGCGGTTAGTCTGGAAAAATCTGCAATCAGTAATTCAAATTTTGTGATTCTCATTTCCTGTCACTTTTATACTTATGGAGCATTGCATAAGTATATGGGCTCCATTAGAATTATTATCTAATTTTATTCGTAATACATGATTTTTTAATATTGCATCTAAGATACTGTATTTACTTTTTTTTTTTTTTTTCTTTTCAATCATATATCTGACTTCAATCTAGGGCTATGGTCGAGCCGAGTAGCTCACTCTAAGATACTGTTTTTCTGGATTTTGTTTGAACTGAAATGGATGATTGAAGTTTGTAAGAATTTGCTTCATATTTTCTCTAGTCAAAAGCTATTTCGGACAAGGCTGGTCATCTTGAATTATTTATTGTACCTCTGTCTCATTTTGTGTTAAATTATATAAAATGTATGATTATGTATAATTTCTTAGGTTAAGCTAATTTAAGACTTGCATCATATTTTGGTTCATTTGTCTTATCTTTATATGTTTAATATAAGTATGTTTTTCAAATGTTTCTACTTGGACATTTATCCAAATAAATTATTGCTTTGGTAATCAAGATTCGACTAGTGAAATTACAGTACATATTTTTTTTGTTTGCATGCTACATGTTCTGACAGTGTACCATTGCACCATATCAAAATTATTATGTTTCTGTTAGTTTCCCAATCTTGTGATTCAAATAATTGATGTTTGTATTTTTTTTATTTTCCAATAGATATGGCAGGTGGAAATATGTATGAATGTGTACTGCAAGTGGAAATTTGGATCTGAATGTGTCATTTGAATTTGAATGTGTACTGCAGCTTGATGATGCATTCAGGCTCTGTAATTTGATTTGAAATTTCATGATGCATTCTGGAAATTTGAATTTGAATGTGTAATTTGAATCTGAATGTATACTACAGCTTGATAAGGCATTCAGGCTCTATAATTTGAATTGAAACTTGATGATGTATTCTGGAAATTTGTATGAATGTGTACTGCTGCTACTGCAGCTCAAATTCGAGCCTGAATAGGGTTTGGCTCGTTCAAACCGAGATCAAGTTTTGCATCCTTTCCCGAGCTCGAGCTCCAGCCGGGGTTTCTAGAGCTCTGTACAATTTTGACGAATTGAGCTCGCGCGCCGTGCTGTTCGCCTCAGCTCGGCTTGTATACAACCCTACTTCACTCTTTGCTTAAGTGTAAATTGTGTGTATTATTTGAAATTAATTTAATATACAACTTTTTGAGTATAGGCTCATTTTTTTTCGATTATATATTTTCATAATGATAAAATAAAATCAATAGATTAATAGAAAATACAATATAAACTAGATTTTTTTTTGAAAGTTGATATAGTATCGAAAATTTTGATTAATGTATAATTTAACAAAATGCCAGATAAATCATTCATAATCTCTCTTAAGAATGTATAAAACTTGTTTTTTTCCCAGTACTAGAATTTGAAACATTTATAAATATTTGAAGGGTGGTAATCTTTATATTAATTTCTAGAGTTTAGAGCTGTTAAGGTAACCAAAAAAAAAAAGCACACTTGATTATTTATTAAAATATGTTAATTAATTTTTTTTTAACAATTAATATAGAAGTTGAATATAGTTATTTTTTTTCATGTCAAATTATTACTGTTTTAATCATTAGATTACAATAAATTAATTTCCCAAATTTATGATAAATAGTATTATTTAAAGGAAAGAAAGAAAGAAAAAGAAATAACCAACACCTCCTCCGCCTACTTACTGACGTGTTGCTTTCTAATGGGTGGGTAAGAATGTAATACAAAATTTTCATTAACGGAATTTATCAACAACTGTTGAAGAAAATTTATCTGGACTAGGAAACGACAATGTCGGAGAAAAACACAAAGAAGCGCATTTTGATTTGTCTCTCTGAAGAAGAAAACGACGATGACAACGACAACGACAACGACGACGACAATGACAATGACAACGGTGATGAAGACGAGGATAGTAGCGTTTCGAGTTTCAGGTATTCAATTTTCATGTTTTTTTTCTTTGATCGGGAGTTGTGACCTTACTGTATCTCATTACGGTTCTTGGTTGTTTGGTCAGTGAGTATGAGAGTGATGAGGTGACGGAGGATGATTACCAGTCTGATCAGGACGGCGACGATGAAGATGAAGACGACGGCGATGATGAATCTCTCTGCAACAGAGTCATTTTCCTCGTTAAAGGTTTCTTCAAATTCACAATTTCAATTGCGTTTATCGAATTAATTTATGTTTATATTAGTTGATTTTGATTGTTTTGTTGTTAGGTTTATTTTTACTTATGTTTAATTAGACAAAAATTGTGTGATATTAATATTATTATTTCTAAGCTTTTACCAAAATGTACTAGGGCCTGTTTAGATTGCAAGTCAAATATAATGCTTTGTTTTTGAAAACATATGACTTACTCGAAGCTAGTTTAATTTTCTTTTGAGGAGATACTATCTAATTATATCCCTAAGCATCAACTTTATTATAGGTTTCTATACTGTATCTGGATGACACTTCTACTTAAGTAATTTCTGTCATGGCTGTTTAGATGTGATTGGGAAAGATTTAGTTTTGGCTCTTTGGACAAATTAAGTGCCTATTTTAGTGGTAGATGTGTATGAGGTTGTAAACTGTTGATTTGCCTAAATTGCAATTACTATGAAATCCAGACACTAACACATGGGGTGTATCAGTATTAAGTGACATTTCTCATTTACTGGATTGTTGTGACTGAAACCATGGAGATCATTGGCGTAATGTTTCTTATAACAGGTCTTGTGATTGCCATAAATTGGTAAATTTGAAATCTCATGTTGGATATTCTGTTACGTAGGAGGGGGTGATCTAGGAGCTTTAAATGTCAAAGCATGCATAGCGTACTTACGTAAGCATGGCCTGAGAATATCTGGTACTAAGACAGTGTGTATACAGAGGATTAAAGAGCATTGGAGGCAAGTGGTTTTGGGCTACATGAACTGTTATCTTCATTTTCTTTACTACATGTTAATGCCACTTTGCTTTTGTGATTATATATTATGTTGGGATGCTAGTATATGCTCATATTTTGGAACTTTTAGTCGTACAAGTGGTAAATGCTTTAACAAATATATTTCTCCAGTGTTGATTTAAGTGTGACATTAATACAGTCTGGAATCAAGAAAAATTCTTGAAGATGACTGACACAGTGAGTATATTGGCTCCATTTCTAATATCTCATAATAAGGATTTTGCTTTCTAACTTACATTTATACACTTGAGCACAACTTGTGAGTTGTACTTATAGCTGATGGAACCACCTCCGTCTGAGTCCTCTCCAATGTTTTCCATGTACTTGTTAACACTCATCATTTTCAATTTCTTGAGTTGAATGTAATAGAATTGTATTCTTGCTAAATGGAATCCTCAAAACAAGTTATCGACATGGCTGGTAAAATTTAATTTGATATCTTCTAATTAGGAAATAATGTGAGATGGGATGGTGATAGAGATTAGGAAGGGCAGAATTAAGGGATAAGAAGCAAAAAATGAGAGAAATCATAAAAGAAATTGAAATGGAGGAAAATTAGAAGAATTAATGTAGGAATAGAGAAACTTTTGGTAAGCCATTTTTCATTCATCAATTCGTTTTTTATGTCTGAAAATAGTAACTTAGCCTCGATTCATTGTGGTTAAAACAACTACATAAAAAAAGAAATGAACTCTTAATAGGAAATTAGATTAACCTAGATAAAGAAGTTCACTCTTATTCAACTAGGAAAGAAAATAAAAATAATTTATAGAGAAACTACATCAAATCCCTACAATCTCCCAGTCATCCTGACCAATCCCCCAAAGTTGAAATTCTCTAGGTTATCCAACAACAATTCCCTTGAGTTGAAAAGAACTCGACTCCTGGCATGTAGACTGAAGAAGAGGGTAATGCGAAGGGTGTTGCCAATAGATTTAAAAGCACCAAACTTGATCTTGAAAAGTTATAGGTTATCCATGCATTAACATCAAGATCCACTGGCTTAGGTAGAGATATGTGCAATCTTGATGTTGCATTGAATGTCCCAAACTGAGTTGAGAAATCTGCATTCAGTAGAAAGTGATAGGGACGAAACTCATGATTTTTGTGCAAAAGTGGAATCAAGTGTGGGCTTTGATACCAAATGACAGTGGATAGAATTAATTGAGAAGAAGGGTAAAAAGGAGAAATCATAGAAGAAATAGAAATATGCTAATAACATGTTTCTTTTTCAGTGGCATTTTGCATATTAGTTACATTTTAACAAGAAATTTAATTTCTAGTTTTCAGAATTAATGATGGAGATGGTGAAGCACTCTATCCAAAATCATCCTTCAGCATCAATTGTACAGGTAGGTTTTTTCTGTATTTATCTGCTAATTTGTTTTGCTTTTGAGGCATCTTAGAGATAATCAGAAATTCCTTCAATAAATGCAGGTGATGTTTGTAAGGGTGACGTTGTTTTGTTCACGCAGAAAGTTTATGAGAAGTATTCCCATTCTTCTTTAGAGTCTTGTTCTTGTTATACTTTGTATTTCAGGTTCTAAATTCTTTTTCTATGTAATTCAAGATCTTTTTTGAACAGGTTTGATAAAGTGACAAGGCATGGGAGGCTTCTAGGAAAGAGAACTATTGCCGGAAGGGTTGTCAATGAAAGCTATGGTGTGGCCAAACAACAACATACTTTTACAGTAAGGAAAAGAAATGTTATTTTTGGCACCAAATTTAAGTTTCTAATGTCTACTCGTTGTTCTTCTATGGGTGCTTCTCAGTTGTAAAAATCTACGGTCACTGGAATGATTTTCCTTAACCACCTGATTGGCTGTTGTGAATAGATGATTGTGCACATTTCTTACTATTGTTTGTTCAGAGAGTAGTTCAGCCATCTAATGCTGTCTACTGGATCCATGTTTTTGTTGTGCAAGATCGAAATATTGTGGATTAAGGGGATTAACAGACTGCCTACACTTTTTCCTTTGCTTGTGAAGGGTCGTAACCTTTATAAATTGAAAACTTTTAGACAGGTATGTGTTTAAGTTAGTCAAGTTGCCAATTTTTAGTGTGTCAGCTTGTTTCCTTACCTTCTTCTGCTCCTTTTAGCTTTGGAATGATGAAGAAGAAAGGGTAAAAGTGCTTGCCGAGAAACACAAACGAGGTGCAGTAGCAAGATTTGTTAGAGCAATTAGGAAAACAAAGACATGGTCCACAAATGCAGGTATACAACGAAAGACTGTGTGTGTGTGTTATTTTGTTTGTTTCATTTTTCTGTTTGGTGACATATGTCAGACTTATTCTCTAATGATTATTAGGTGCAAAACGTCAAAAGTATTTCCATCATACAAGGTCATCTCAGATGAGTAAGACAACAAAACCTGAAAAGAGGAGGTGTTTGGATGGACCCGGAAAAGCTATGCCTCTGCAACATGCAAAACTTAATAATCATCGTAAAGATGCTCCACCAAGAAATCCGAAGTTCAAGCAAAATTTAAGGTCAGGAGGATCTCAATTATGTCAGAGACATCAGAACTTTCATAGAAGGATCAGTGAAGGTCCAAACCTTCGTTCATTCACACCTCCCCAGGGTCCTTATCTGTCTCAAATAGAATTTCACCACAATAATTCAGCATTCCATTTTTGTGGTCATGACGTGGACTACAGTTCAACTATGACAAGAATTCCACATATCAAGCCTTTCTCTTACATGTCCATGATGCCTACTACAAGAAATCAGGGGTACAACCATAGCAATTGCACCCACCATGCCTTCTCAAGTCCTAGCCACAGCTTTGAACCGAGGGACTTGAACTGCTTTCCAGGGTTGAGGACTGTTGATAGACATTCACATCAATGTCCATCAAGAACTGAGGCATATGGACCCAGGAAGAATGGTTTTCAATATGTTTTCCGTTAAGATGTCTGGTATCTAAACAAAGCATTGCATCTTCCGTTGAATGCTCCTGACAGGCAGGTAAGACAGGCTTCCTGCACTTTTACCAAATTTTTTGCATGCAAGATTCCGGGTGGTAAAACTCTTTCACCTGCGAAATTTAAAATTCTTGTTCATTTGGAGAAATGTATACGAGGAATGTGTTTTAGCTGGTAGCTGGTTTAAAGCAAATAACTCTAGTCGTTGTTTCAGTAGCTTTATGTTGATATTATTGCCTATTTGATCACCTCGTTCAACAGCAAATGGCAGATATACCGTTGGCATCAAACAAGCTCAGACAGATATCTAGCATTCGTTTGCATTTTATATAACTTCTCCATTAACTTTCCTTGGACACTAGGGGTGTGCAAAAGAACCTGCCAGAACTGAAACCGGCTGATACCTGAGGTTCCGATTCCGGGTAGGAACCGGAACCGACCCTCACAGGGTCAGTTTCAGTTCTAAAAAATCGAAATCGATACTTTGTAGTTCTGATTCCGTTTCCACCATTATTGAAATTGAAACTGTGCGGTTCTGATTTCGATTCCACCATTGTCAAAACAGAAACTAAGACTTGGGTACCCAGTTAGGAACCGAGACTGAACTGTAATTTTTGTAAACTTTTGGGGTTATATTGTAAATTTGAGGGGGTATTTGTCATTTTTGTGAATAGTAGGGGGTCATTGTAATTTTCCCGAATACCCAGAACCGAAACCTATGTTTCAGGTTCCAGTTTCAGGCTTTTGGGAACCAAAACCGGCCGGTTCCAGTTCCATGGGATTTGGGTGGGTACCAAGACCCGCCCACCCCCACTGGAGACAATTATATCACTTGGCAGTTTGCACTTTGCACTCTGCACCGTGCGTTTCGTTTGCCAAGTAAGAGATTCTAGATAGGTGATTTTTCATCAACTAAGGTATAACCCAGCAATTTCATTGAGTTGATAAATTTATTTATGAACGTAACAGACCAATGATTGAAATTATTTCTTCTGTTTTATATGTTTTGGAGTAATGGTATTTACCTTTTGTCGTGGAGAGCTGTATACATTGGTTTTCCAAGACAAAAGATTCGGATGCCTAGTTGATGTTGGGGCACATATGGTTGGTGTTTTCCACTTGACCAAATTAATGGGCTCAGCCCTGAGCTCCTTTCTCACCTAATTTTTATTCTTAAAACTAAAATGAAATAATAAGTCAAATCAGAATTAATTGGTGTGAGTCACAAGTGAATTATAAGAACTTTTGTGATTGGATAGGTGAATGTGATTGGCAGCATGATCCAATTGTGTCAGTACGAACTACGAAGACGGAAGACATGAGGATCGACGACCAGTATTCGCTACCAAAATGACGGCTCCCCAAGGGAAAATATAAATACCATGCCCCACATTACAACTTTTCCTTCTCGATCATATAACACTGTATCAGCTCATCATGAAAAGTCGCTGTCGTTTTCATTTTTCAGAGGAAAATTTGGCACATAGCTCTCATTTCAAAAGCAACTTTATTACAACTCTTGTGTGTCTTAAATTAGAACACGAAGTCCTTCTATTATCCATGCAAACACTGTCCCCCAACCCAACCGATGTAACACTAAGAACCGACAATTTTTAAGACTGCTAGCTTTCTGTTTCTGGGTTAAATTTTTTGTAAGCTTTCAAAATTTGTCAAGGGAGATGAAACTGATAAAATTTACATCAGATGAATATTAAAAAAATTTAGAAAAAGAATCCTGTCCTCTTAGTATAGCACCTTATGAAAATCAATAATTAAGTTGGAGAATACTATGAACATTCATAACCGAAATCACCATTCAATCACGCATAAATTTTATGCACTTTNGCGTGGAGACAATTATATCACTTGGCAGTTTGCACTTTGCACTCTGCACCTTGCGTTTCGTTTGCCAAGTAAGAGATTCTAGATAGGTGATTTTTCATCAACTAAGGTATAACCCAGCAATTTCATTGAGTTGATAAATTTATTTATGAGCTTAACAGACTAATGATTGAAATTATTTCTTCTGTTTTATATGTTTTGGAGTAATGGTATTTACCTTTTGTCGTGGAGAGCTGTATACATTGGTTTTCCAAGACAAAAGATTCGGATGCCTAGTTGATGTTGGGGCACATATGGTTGGTGTTTTCCACTTGACCAAATTAATGGGCTCAGCCCTGAGCTCCTTTCTCACCTAATTTTTATTCTTAAAACTAAAATGAAATAATAAGTCAAATCAGAATTAATTGGTGTGAGTCACAAGTGAATTATAAGAACTTTTGTGATTGGATAGGTGAATGTGATTGGCAGCATGATCCAATTGTGTCAGTACGAACTACGAAGACGGAAGACATGAGGATCGACGACCAGTATTCGCTACCAAAATGACGGCTCCCCAAGGGAAAATATAAATACCATGCCCCACATTACAACTTTTCCTTCTCGATCATATAACACTGTATCAGCTCATCATGAAAAGTCGCTGTCGTTTTCATTTTTCAGAGGAAAATTTGGCACATAGCTCTCATTTCAAAAGCAACTTTATTATAACTCTTGTGTGTCTTAAATTAGAACACGGAGTCCTTCTATTATCCATGCAAACACTGTCCCCCAACCCAACCGATGTAACACTAAGAACCGACAATTTTTAAGACTGCTAGCTTTCTGTTTCTGGGTTAAATTTTTTGTAAGCTTTCAAAATTTGTCAAGGGAGATGAAACTGATAAAATTTACATCAGATGAATATTAAAAAAATTTAGAAAAAGAATCCTGTCCTCTTAGTATAGCACCTTATGAAAATCAATAATTAAGTTGGAGAATACTATGAACATTCATAACCGAAATCACCATTCAATCACGCATAAATTTTATGCACTTTAAAATGACACAAACAGTAGCAACAACGACCGGCAGAGATGTTATGCATGATGGTAGCTCCCCCGTTAATTTGAGCTGTGTAGCTAGGGTCCAACCACAGCGGACAATATGTATATGCAATGCATTATTAAGGGAGTGTAGTAGTAAATTAACATATGATGATGATGATGACGATGTTGCAAACTGAAACTGGCAATTTGTACTAGTAGAATCCGGGATTGGAAGGCCGAAGATCCATCTCTTGGGTCCAAGCGGTTCGTTCTTGAACATGCAAATGCCAGTAGGTCTGAGCCAGTGAGTCAGGGTCCATCGTCATCATGGCCCCGTCCTCTCCTCCTCCGCTCTGTTGTTGCTCCCCAACCAACGATCTCTGAGATGTCGTTGGTCCCCTGCATATAATTTAATCCTTTTTCATCAACTTAAACAACGTTCTCATCAAATATGAAAAAAAAATCACCTTCAACTATTACTAAATCTTTTATCTTGAAAAGCTAAACATGTTATCTGACACCATTGGATATTTAAATTAAAAGGAATCAGCCACGTTCTCGTTATTTAGAACTCTACATTCCTTAATATGTGTCACTGAACAATTGAAGAAAATGGGGAAAAGGAAAATAAATTGGAATCCGAAAATATCAACATCCGACGAATAATACGAAAATATAAAAATAAGTGAACAATAAGTAATTTACCTGGGAGGGCCAATAACACCATCAATGATGACATGAGCGACGTGAACACCAAAGGGTTGGAACTCTCTTGCCAGGCATTGCGACAGTGCTCTCAATGCGAACTTCCCACAGCCTGTCTCACACCAAATTATTAAACTAATTTACCTTTTTATTTTTTTCTAGAGAAAGTATATGATTCTGGTGATTCTTCAAGTGAATCTAACAACAGATTCGTTGGCAAAATTGAAATTATACAATTAATTAATTACATAGTTCAGAGAAACCCGCCATGCCACTGAGAGAAGCCGAGCAACCAGAAAACAGAATTGTTCCCTTTCCTCTTTCCACCATGCCAGGAAGAACCTAAATTAAACATGATAACATTCCCTCTTCATCAACCAATCCCATAACCTAAAATTAAATATGTATATCAACATATCACCTGAATTACACTTTGAAGAAAGCTTGGGTTGAGATCCATTTTAAACGGTGGAAATTATGAATTTCTTACACTTGAACAAAACATAAGGCAACCGTGATATATTTGCTTCCTTTTATAGCATACGATAATAGGGAATTTTGGTTCACTGAAGATCTTAATTAATACCAGAATAAAAATTAAGGTGAACCAAAATTAATGATTGTCTTTGGTTCCATACATGTTGATATAGCTATTTGAAGATGGATAGTAGTACCAGTAGTACCTGTTGAGCACAAAGAAAAGCACCAATGGAGGAGACGAAGACAGATTTCTCAAAAGAATCGATGCGGATATCAGTGAAGTTGGTGGGGTGCCAAGAAACTGGGTGGTATGCATTGTATACAAGCACTTCAACAAATCCAAGGGAAAGAACTCCTTCAAATGCCTCCCTCACACTTCTTGATTCAGAACAGTCAATTCTGATTGCAAACACTTGTGCTTTCTCTTCCCTCGCTATCTCGTCCGCAAATATTGATAATCGTCCTGTGTTCAATACATAAATTGCTTCAAAGCCCTTTTCACACTTCCCTTTTTTCATTGAAGGAATAAATATATCAAACCAAAACACAGGCAAAAAGAAAACAAGTTAAGAGAGAGAGGGTACATCCTGGTCACGGGCGAGAGAAAAATGTTCGCTTTTGATGAACTAAGAGAAGAAGTAGAGAGAGATACCTAAGTCACGGGCGAGGATGGCAACGGTGTAGCCTTCATGGGCAAACTTTCGGGCTATGGATCGACCCAGTTTGGGTCCGACCCCTACAATGGCGGCGATGCCTCTACAGGAGCCAGAACTGGACATGCTACGCATCTTTGCTATAGCTAGCTGTGCTTTGAACGGAAAAGTTATCGATGTCAGTGAACAAACTAAGTCTACTCTTTCTGTTACTTTTTTGTTGTTTAAGTTGAGTTCTTCTGCTTTCAGATTGGAGAATTTATTTAGAAAAGAAAAGGAGAGATGAGATGAGATGAGATGGTGGATTAGCACTGTGGCTAGTTATGCTCTCCTTCGTCACTGTCTACGTCGTTGCCTCCTCAGCAAGTAGCACTTCTTCTTCAAAGATAAAGCATTTCTTAGCTTTGGGTATTGCTTTCTTTGCCTTCCCTTTCTTATATACCATCTCTCTCTCTCTCTAATCATTTCTTAATCACTCTAATAATCATAATCTCTTAATTTTAGGGGTTGATAGTAGTGATAAATAATTATTCATGCAATTCCACAGTCCTGGTAGGTAAGAAGTCCTTTTAGGTTTTTTTTTTGAAGAACTATAGTTGTGACATTTGCTACTAGAGTAGAGCCTACCTAAATATCCCAATACCAGTTATTTAGCCCAATCAATGCAGTTTCTTACTGGTTTGAATTTTAGTATCTCAACTTTTCTCCATTCAGTTGGTTCTGATAAAACTTGTTCAGTATGGCAGATTCACGATTTTGTATGGGATGAATCAAATTTGTTAACAATTGCCCGCCATCAGTCACCTTAGTTTAAATCCAAAGTGTTATAAAGGAATTGAAAGGTCCTTCCAAGGTGTTTGCGTAGGAAATGCACTTGACTTGAAGCAGTCAAGTCTTGACCATGATCAGGAGTCCATGTTTGATAATAAGGTAAACATAACATAATCCGTAAAATATCTATAGTTTAGAGAAGTCCAGATCTAGTAACTCTCCTAGTTCCTATTTAACCTTTAAGCTACGGGCAAAGTGGTGCTAGCTATTACTCTCCACACGAGGAAAAAAGATTCAGGTATACTTTAACTCCATTCTTAACCATACTGTAGCAACTTGGTTGCCTTTAATTTTCTTTTTCTTTTTTTCTTTTTTACAAGAAGTGTTCTAGGTAGCTGTGTAGGCCCCTTTACTTCTGTTTGGTGTGCGTATAATAATGAAAATAGTGTGTACAAGCTTCTAGCTCGAAAGGTTGCCTCCCTTGCTGATTTTTTGATAGAATAGAAATGTGGCGACATCACATGTGCCCAGCCCCAGCCAGGCCTTGTTCACTATGTATACTTTGAGGCTTGGTTGGCAGGTAAATTTAAACCCATATATGATATACGCTTTTAGTCTAGAAGGGAGAAGAAGATTAAGAGTAGTAGAAACTAGAAAGTAGAAAGAATATAGGATATATCAGTTTGGTTTTGTTTCATCATCAAAAACATTGGAGAATATTAGTTGTTGGTGGGCAATGTAGGGTCCTACTTCATATTTTCAGGGCTTTCTTCACATGGAATGGTCAACCTTTCATGCCAACTTGCCACATTCTTCACCCTGTCTTTCTTTTTATGGGGTAACTTTGGAGGATATTTTCTCTCATAATCCAATAAGGCTATATCATAATTAATCAGCCCTTAAAATCATTATTCATCTTTTTGATCCAGAGGTTTCTTATATATTAATATTATGGTAAATAGTTTGACAATTATACGTATAGAATAAGAATTTTCAATTTATCAACACCATTAGAATCCACTTTTTATTTATGCTTCGATCGTGTCTTTAGAATTCCACTCCAAAGTCCAAAGTTTCTTTCTCCTCTTAAGTTGGATCAATTCACCAAAGCCTTCTAAGTGTTGTCAATTGCAATGAGAATATACATGTAGATGGTGATTGATGTAAGTGGCTTATTAACTGTCACTTAATTATGGACATTAACATCCACTTCCTTTAAATGAAGGAAGTTGTTATAACTTGAGATAACCATCTTAGTAATCACTTCGAGTTTTGATGCGATTATAAATAGGGTTGGTTTTCCCAGTTTAATAAGGAAAAATTATAGTATGAGAAAAACACCCATAAATCGTAGAAGTGAATTGAGTTTCCTAAGTGAATGAGTTGATATCAACCCATAGAAGATGAAGACCAGTGGTAGGAATTACACTAGGTCCAAACGAAAGTATTTATATGATTATTCTACATTTTACAAAATAATAGATGATAATTTATAAATTCAGTTTTAAGTTTATTTTATATGGTATCGAAGCCAAGTTTTAAGTATTCCCATGCCAATTTATAACATGTTTCACATTTGTTAATGTGATAATTGATTATTAAGATGTTTTGTGTGGGAATTGAATAAAAAAAGTAGCATGCTTTGTTGTTAATGGTAGCTTATGTTTTAAAAATTGAATTGCCGTAATTTTTTAGTATGTTATGGCTTGTTGATGTGTGATGCATACTGGAGAATTTGAAATGAAAATTTGGAGCATGTTACAAGAAAATCAAAATATATTTTTTCAAACCTGTAATTGTAAATTGTGCATTACTTTTGGTATAAAGCATATTTATTTTCGCTTTTGGTGTTATTGGAATCCTTGTTGAAATAGTTTTCTAACGATATATTATTTGCTAAAATTAGAGTTCAAATTGCAAAGTTATGATGATTTAAAGTTTTAGGACATATTATGATATTCTAGAAAATGGGTGTGTTCAAAGGTTAGGGATGAACATTATTGCTGTTCATTCGGAGTAAGAGTGAATTTCACCCCTGTCATAGAAATGTAGAAATTTGACGTCATTTTCACTATAATATTTAAAATTGCAATGTTATATGTATGTGTTTGTCATTATTAACATTTGCAACTGGTGCATTTAAATAAATATTATTCTTACCAAGATTATTTATTTTATGAGCAATGTTGGAATACGATAAAATGTGAAACAATAAAATAGTGGGAGTTTTTCTTTAGCCCACAAACAATAAAATTTTTATTGCTTTTTTGTGTAATATTGAAGTCTTATTGTTAAGTATAATGATTATTATGCATTATAGATTTTGCCTACAGGTAATCTATAAAGTATAATTGATCAAGATTCACTTAACTTTGACTATAAATGACTATAAGTTGTAGACGTGAGATTATATCATTAAATTTACAGAACATGATTTTCGAGACTGATGGGCATTATGTGGAGAATTGTAGAATGGATAGGAAAGCATTTGCCAAGTTATGTCATTTATTAGAAAGTCATTCGAGGGTTAGTTTCAACTAGACATACAAGTATAGAGGAAATGGTAGGTAGTTTTCTTCACATTATTGTCCACCATGTGAAGTACAGGGTATTAAGAGACAAATAACTAGATCAAGTGAGATAGTTTCACGAAAATGTCAAGCTGTGTTGCAATCTATGTTGAAACTGCATTCCATTTTACTTAGAAAACCATAGCCAATCTTGGAGAATTCAACTGATGAACGGTGGAGATGGTTCAAGGTACATATTTATACATTGTACAAATCATTTTCATAAAATTTTGGTTACAACATTATCAACAAATTGATTCAATGTTTTCATGATTTTTTGTGATGTTAGAATTGTTAGGGTGCTCTGGATGGAACATACATCAGGGTTAATGTCGACTCAATTGATAAACCTAGGTATCGAACATGAAAGAATGAAATTGCAATGAATGTGCTTGATGTTTACACACCTAACGTGCAATTTATTTATGTTTTCCCCAGGTGGGAAGGCTCAGCTGTAGATGGTAGAGTGCTAAGGGATGCCATTAATAAGAGAAATGGATTAAAGGTCCCTCAAGGTAAATCCTAAATCAAATTGTGTTGTATATGTTAGGATATACTGAAAAAGTAGATGTTTAGATGGATTTTGACATGTTAAATTTCATGATAGGGTTTTATTACTTATATGATGCTGGATACACCAATGGGGAAGGTTTTCTGGCACCATATAGGGAGCAAAGATACCATTTGAATGATTGGAGGCAAGGTCATCAACCAAGAATAGACCAAGAATATTTCAACATGAAACACTCTCAAGCTGGGAATTGTATTGAGAGATGTTTTGGCATACTGAAGAAGAGATAGGTATTTTGCGAGATGCATTGTTCTACCCCATCAAAACCCAATGTCGAATAATTTGTCATGTTGCCTTCTACATAATTTCATTAGAAGTGAAATGACAGTAAACCCAATTGAGAGGGAAGTTGGTGAAGTGTGCAATACCCATGATGACAAGGATGATGATGGTGAAGTAATAAGGCAGTTGGAGATGAGTCCCGCTTGGACTGCATAGAGAGATAATTTAGCTAAAGAAATGTTTAATAGTTGGATGGTTTCGTGTAATGCGTAGTGTTGTCTTAATATGTACTGTTCTGTCATTTTTAGTTGATGTTAGTGTATTTTGATGCAAAAAAGTTCATGTGATTGCTTTATTTGCATTGTGAGTGTAGTCCACTTAATTGTAGCACTTGGTATATGCATAATGGTTATGTGAAACTCCTTGTTGCTTTGCTAGATGTTGAATTGGAGTTCATTACTTTTTATGAGGCATATTTGATGTTGTTGTATAATTCTTAAACATACGACCTTTTACATGCTATCATTTTTTCTTCTTTTTTCTGTTTCCCATAATATAAATAATTTTATATTTCCTCCTACTTTGCTATTTTTGGATGATGTATGACTGAAGTTTTGACTGCAGAATGGACAAATCACCATCAGGAACTGAAAGTGGCGATAAGAGTTTGTCTATGTGCAATGCAAACATCAACAGAAAAGGAAAAGGCAAAGTCAAGACTAGTAAGGGCAAAACGCAATGGATCAAAACTAAGGACGCCAATTTGGTTACGTGTCTTGTGCAAATGAAGGAAAACATCCATTGGAGGGCCGACAACAACACATTTAAAGTTGGGCTTTTGAGGCAGTTGGAGAAAATGATGGAATAAAGGTTGCCTAAACATGGGCTGAAAGCTATTCCACGCATAGAATCCAAGTTTAAGTTGTTGAAGTGCCAATACAATGCGATCAATGAGATGATAGAACATGACAGCGGATTTGGCTAGAATGACCAAGAAAATTGCCTCACTGTATTCAAAGATATATTTGATGATTGGGTTAGGGTAAGTGCTTCTCAATGGCAATCCATATATTTACATGTTTTGCTCATCTTCTTTACATGTTTTGCTCATTTTGTTAACATGTTTTGCCACATTTATATTTTTTTTTCAAAGTCACCCTACCACGAGAGGGTTGCGTCACAAACCATTTTCACACTACGACTCTTTATTAATGATGTTTGGAAAAGACAGAACAACCGACGCGAATGCTGAGACCC